TTTTCACAGCATGTCATGACCAAAATGCTTCAGACACATCTGTGTCCCCTACAGTATAGAGAACATACGTAAGTTTTGTGCGCTAAAATACACWTTCAAGCAAACTTGGGGAATAATTCCCCTGGCAGTGATCTCAGCTGCATGACTGAGGGWTTGTTTGATAAACCTTTTCAGACAAACTTGGCTTTACTTCTCTCACACTCAGGGACATTCAGGGAAGCTTACTGATGGGCCATGGTACTCCATGGCTTCTAGATGCCACCCTTTGTAAGCAGAAGGTGCAGTTCTGACCAGGAAAAAACAAACAGCAAAACAAACAAGCAAAACACAAACTACAAACCCCACACTGTAAATAGCAAAACACTGAGCTATGACTACCAACCAATACACACTACAAAATTTAAATCCTGAGGCACAAAGCTATTTGTTTGAAAAGACAAGACTGAATTAAGAAGGATAACAAGGTGGATTAATGATAGATGGATCAAGAGCTTGGCRATGAACAAATAATATCAGGAAAGATCACCTTTGAAAGGCCGCAAAAGTAAAGATGAATAATTTGCTTGGTGCAATAAAAGTTACCACTGTGAAAACAAGTTAAGCAGCTTCATTCTGRAGAGATATGATGGGACTACAGCACATGTTCAGAAGGCTACAGAAAAAGCATGACAGTTTTATGAGATCTTGCTACATGGAAAGACTGCATCATAATACATCTTAATATAATCATGGAAGGAAACTGAGAAAAATTCAGACACAGGCTGATCAGAGCATTCTTCCTATATGAGAATGGGGCAACCATGTCACACAAAAACCCCACAAATAATTCTGTTAGGATTGTGACAGGTCAATGGATGAATTACAAAAAATGTAAAAAGACCTGCCTTTAACAATGTTGAATACGAACTGTTCAACAAACCATGATATATTGGCTGAGATACCTGAACTCTGACGTCTGCCTCATCTGTGTCTACACCTGAGCCAATCCCCTGTTACACTCAGAGGAAATCTTATTAATATAATTAATCAACCTTAACAAAGCAGATGGTCAGATTTAGTCAGATGAATTATGCCTGTGGTGGGTTGATCCCAGCCAGCAGTTGAAGCACCCAGGCAGCCACTCACTCACCCACTTACTCCTCCTCAAAGGGTGGGGGAGAGAATCAGAAAAGCAAAACTGAGAAAACTTGTCAGTCAAGACAGACAGTTTAATAAGTGAATGAAAGAAAAGAAGAAAAGTGATGTAAAGGCTGTCATTTACTGCCTCTCACAAATATAAAACCACAGAATAAGCTGAGTTGGAAGGGATCTATCAAGCTCATCAAGTCAGGCTCCGGGCCCTGCACAGGACACTCCAAAAGTCACACCATGTGCCTGAGGGCATTGTCCAAACACTTCTTGAACTCTGCCAGGCTTGGTGCTGTGACCCCTTCCCTGAGGTGCCTGTTCCAGTGCCCAACCACCCTCTGGGGGAAGAAACTTTTCCKGATATCCAACCTAAACCTCCCCTGACTCAGCTTCCTCAAGTCCTGTCAGTGGTCACCAGACAGAAGAGATGAGTGTCTGCCTCTTCACCACCCCTCATGAGGATGTTGAGGTCTCCCCTCAGTTTCTTCCAGGCTGAACAGACCCAGAGACCTCATCTGCTCCTCATTTGGCTCCCCCTTTACCATCCTTGTGACTTTCCTTTGGATGCACTCTAATAACTTAATGTTCATTAACTCTTATCAACCAAGTCCTCACAAGGGTAGAACACAAAAGCAGCTTGCTGCAAACTAGTTACCTGCACTGCAGACCCTTTGTTTTATTTGTGCAATTTCAATTTGGAAAGAAAAAAAATTAGGCACTTATGAGACATCTACATGAATCTAGCAGTTGAAWTTTTTTGTGAAAGGATGAGGAGTACAGAATTAAATGGAAAGAAGAATCGTCATAAAATGACTGTTCACGGGGTACTAATAAGTTTTAAAGGAAAGGGAAGAGAGCAATGAGTGCTAATCCAACAAGAAAATTAAGGATTTTGTTGATTTAGAGACATCTTGCTATGATCTATCAATAACAGATTTTTGAGAAATTTTTGAGAAAAATTATGTACTGTTTACCAAAATTACCAAAGCTCAAATTTCTTWATTTCCTGTTMCAGTATATAGCAAACTTCAAGACTGGATCATGATGTTCATTTTAGACACAATGATTATTTTTTCAACAATAGGTAACAAAGTAAGAAAAAGGACTTTATATCACATTATTAAATTTTAGTTGGAACTAATGTTAAGTAGCTGKAACTGATGAAGCCTGATTTCCTTTACTGTTTTTGACTTGTGGCTGATCGTCTTTTCGGTCTGAGACTGTGCAAGTCCAGCTGTACCTTTCCACCAACTAATGAGTTTGAAAGGGCTTTGTTTTGTCAGAAACTTGCAGGGTCTTGTTCCTATGTGATATTTTCATAAATTTTTTAGAAACATAATTGTCTTTGACACTTCTTTCTCCATATTCTGTGGAAGTAGATAAAGTACACTAAAACTAGAGGACACACACAGTGACAATAAAAGTATTGTCTCAATAGGTAAACAGGACATGAGAGTTCAACAGTGAATTTTGGGACTCATGAATTAATATTTATTTGGCATTTTCAGCAGACAATGAAACAGCTATAGGAACACTTGCAGGATGACTGCTTGRTTTCAGCAATAACTCCTTAATCAGAAATACCAAGCWGCAGATCATGATAATCYCATGCCTTTCCTTCCCATCTTGCTMCACCCCTCAGTGTCCTCTCCCCCAGTTTTGTTGCTTTCACTACGACACAGTAAGGACAGCGAGTTTCATCTTTGCTTCCTTACTATACAAAGGGAAAACAGCAATTTTATCTARAATTTAGATTAGAAGCTGGAACACAAACACATTACCCCAGATCAGAGCAGTTGCCAACCTGAATAGTCTGAAAATGACCAATGCCAGATGAGTAAGAAATCCCACAGAAGGAAATTGTGAAGACACAGCTCATTTGGAAAGCCTTCCCTAATTATTCTCAAGCTTCTGGGCTGTTCTCTACCCTGGAGTTTGCACCTTTCATCACTCAGAAAACTGTTGCATGTGAATRCAACTGCAGATTTTTCCAAATACTTCCATAACTCAAGTTTATTTTCTTATACTTGGATTTGCTTAAATCTGTTGCTGAGGTTGACACCATGCTCAACAATTCAATTATCACCGTTTACCTTTCCTTCCTTCTATTATTAGAATTTCTGCCTTTCATTCCATTACAAAATGTCTTGGTTTATCTTGTGGGTGGAAGGAAATARCCACAACAGGACCTCTGAAAATGTGGGGTTGGTTTTCCTAGTGCTTTATTACAAATGGAAACTTTTTTCATGCATAATTCTTCCTGAGAAAATAATAGGACAGTTCTGGTAACTGGAATGCTTGCAACACTAGGAAAARACCTAATATGCTGCATTCAAACTAAAGCACCACAAACATGGTGAAATGCTTTTGTATCTAATTAGTTTCCTACTTCATCTCTTAAAATCATTCCAAAATCTTGAGAAGCAGCAAGCAGAGAAAGAAAAAACAGATCARCAGAAGGGAAGGGTTCCAATGTATTTATTTTTAAACAGTATAAAATAAGGATAAAATTGTTTCTAGAGTACTTAAAAATAATCTGGGAAACAAAAACCTGTGTTTTCTGTCTTCACTGCATCTTCTTAAATGTATCTGTTACATTAAATAACTTGGTACAAGAGTCAAACACAAAAATCCTGGCTAAAACTACCAAGAGTGCAGAAATGCTGTTTAATGTAGCAGTTTTGATGAATTTCAGCATACTGTTATTAGCAGCATTTTAATTACAATTGTTGTATACACACATACCAGTGGAATTAGATACTTTGCAGAGTTACAGTATTAAAGTTCTTAAAGTTAAATCATGCCAATGCAGATGTTCCTAATTACTTTTAAAGCACAAATACTTAAAAATCATTTGTTTCCAGCTCCAGCATAACACAATTAAAGGAGTGTTTATAATTTAACAACATGAATGATAGTTAAGCATACTTAGTGTGGAAGACTGTTMAGAAACAATATATGTTATTCACATGAAGGAAGGAGTTAAAGTCCATCTGAGATAAGAAGGTGTGATTTGCCCGAGACAAATAAGAGATATTGTCATAAGAAGGTCACGCTATCAAAAACACATCAAAAACTGACAAAAGCATTTATTTCCTAGCTGCAATCACTTTACTAAGCAAGATGACTGGAATTTAAAGTTTATGCAGGTCATTGTGSAAGGTTTGGAAAGATCTCCCTTTTTCTTTTTTTCCTTTTTTTTTTTTAAGCTGTAAAATGGAGTGTAGCTCCACCCCTATTTTGTATTGCTGCTTGAAAAGAGGTGTGGTAGGTAATGCAATACAGCATTAATTTAGCACACAAGCCATGGATGGAGCAGATCCTCTCCCTGGWTAATGTCTCTGGCAGGAACACTTTATGCACAGAAAGTCGTGAATTTTTCCTGCWGTGTTGTGGAATTTTACAGGTAATGGTATCATGCACATGTTTCTTCCAGAAGACCATTTCTTATAGTGCAATAATAATTTACCCATATTTTTTTCCATGTGAAATAGAGAAWAAGGTGGTTAATTTAACTGATAAAACTGTGTCTTTAACCATATCCTGTAAGAATAGAGTCACTGCTCTCTCTTCTTCCATATTAAATGTTTAAAAAATTGTTAGAAGAATGGAATAAATAGTAAAGTTCCACAGAAATTAACTACAAGAACACAATCCATTTCTATCCACATTTGCACATCCAGTCTATACATGAGCTAAGACTATATGCTCTTCCTTATATTTTTATTTAGATTAAATCAACATTAAATATGCAAGCATGTCTTTGTTTTAACCATAGATTTATGATAATATTAAAGAAGATCAAAAGAAAAATACCAATTCAGCATGACCAGAAAAACTTCAAATATTAATCTGAAATGAGTTRACTGTACCTTGAGTCACCTGTTGGATGGCTAGCATCATCCCAGAMACTGTATCAGGAACCAAATTTTCCTTCCAGTTGTAGGCAGGCACCCATTCCAATATGGGCAGCCTTCTCMTGCACCAGGCTTTGATATCTTCAAAGCGAACAGCCTGCATCTTCCTCCACACTGTGTCTCTTCTTCTTTTTGCCCCTGTCATCATTCCTGCCCCACAAAAGCAGTGCCTCTGTCAGGAGAGTGCACAGTAGAGGAATCACTCTGATCTGTGTCAGTCTCCAGTTTTCTTCTGAGATTTTTCAGTTCCAAAACTACCGAGAAAAAAAAAAATGAACAGAAGCACTTAAGATTTCCGCAGCTGTTCTGTAACTGTACTGAATGAAAACACTTATTAAGCACTTCAATCATATAAACAGCCACATGAAATGCAAGAACCATCTACAACAAAGATCACATTTTTTGCTGTTTGCAAAAATTTGGTCTAGTCTCACGTTAGTTTGTGATTCTTTCCAGTAACTTCCCGCTTTATATCCCTGTAATGCTTGTGCTTTTGGCCTCATTCCAGTGGCAAAATGAGGTATTACTGGGTGTGTGTGCGATATAGGCTGGGCTATGCTAATCTGAGCAAGAAGTGCCCAGCAGAGCAGGCATCTCCGTGCCAAGCCCGGGAGAGCAGCCCCGGCTCTCCTGGGGGGAGCTTTTCTGGCCACAGGMGGAAGGCATTAAGAACTCAGTAAAGCTCGTGCTAGAAGATTTGTCTTACTCCATCAACATTTTGTCTTCTAAACGACAGGAAAAAGCTTATTTATGTAGTAAATGCAGAACATCAGGTAGCAATAAGTCCTACTGGAAACATACACAGGCTCTCTCTGTAGGCTGAAACCTCAGACATAAAAGTAATGAGCTCAAAGTGCAGTGAGGGACTGCAAGGTATCAGCTTCGCATGGGAAGTCCCAGAAATTCTCGTGACRATCATTCTCCCTCAAAGCCAGCCCTTTCTGCTCTTGGTTGTCCATTCAACAAAGGCTCTCTGAGCACAGGCAGTTCAAGTAACATTTGTTCTTGTAATAACATCATGCACCTTGTGTACGAYACAAAGTGCTCAGACACAGAGTGATAAGGACATGGAAGAGCTTTAAATGTTAAGGTTTTTAAATGCCTTGACTGATRTGGAGCAAGGACACAGTAAGCTTTCCTCTAAGTTTTCTGTATCTCTGGCTGGCAAAGAAATTTAAATTAAAATGCAAGATCCATCGTATAGGTGAAGTGTCTTCCCAAACATTGTCCTGCAGTAAACAATAAAAATAAATATTTTTAAAATAGTTCCAATTTTTAAAATAGAAATTAATTTATATTTTATTGTTTAGATTAAGGCAAATAAAACTGAAGCATTTTCCATCCTAAACGACTTTGGAAAAATGAGACTTCTTCCAAATGCAACAGGTAGACTGGCACAAGAACAGATGCATCACAGTTCATTCTACTGAGTGACATTCAGTCGATGTCCACACCTGTGTCCCTTATCATTGCAAAGGTAAAAAAAAAAGGAAGAAAGAGAAGGAAAGAATTTCTTAGCTTGAGACCTTCACTTTTAACCATTCCTGCCATGGTTATTCTTTGCCCTGCACACCCATTAACAATATACACATCTTAAAGAGAGGTAATCATACTTCTGTTTATTAGAATAAACCTCTAAGCATCCATTATTATTTTGCTTTTTTTAAAATTTGTGATTTGTGTTTTTGGTTTTCTCTGCTTTTTAACTTGAAAGTGCAGTTCAAGGATTTCATAACTGAGATATTTATGTCTGCCAAGTGTTCCACAACACAGATCTTTTYCTATTTTCAATAGCCAGAAGTGGACAGGAATCCTTACAGCTACTCAGAGATCAGGTACTGCTTAGTTTTGATCAAATGTTCAATACCTCTAACTACAATAGCACTTACCATTAAACAAAAATCAAAATACATTTCTACACATAAATATCCATGTGCAAAAACATACCCAAATACAGGTACTTGATATGGGCTCTTTTACAAGTAAAAGAGCCTCCCTTTTTAAAAAAACAAAAATAATTTTAATTTTTTTTAATTTTTAATAATTGTTTGCTGGAAGCTCGGAATATTCTGAAACAGGCAGGAAARACACATTAGGAAACCAAAGAACCATCGTTAAACACACAAGAACATGTTCTCCAAAATGCTGAAGATGTCTGAAAAAGTCTGTAATTGAGATTTTCCCGCCTCCTACTTGGAGCCAGAAGAACTGGCCAATGTTCATTAATCCCAGATTAGTATCTGAATTCCTAGGATTAGCATTATCAACASAATTTTGTGCCTCAACAGCAAGGGATGGTCTCTTTCTGTGGGTGTGTGCATGCATGAGTGCAAACATCTCACAGCTGATGTGGAATTTTCATGGATACTTTTCTTACTMCAACCGTTATTTTGGTAAGTAAAAAAAATTCCATTATGCATAAATCTGAAATCGATAACACCATCATTATTGAAAAACATTCTTCATTGTAACTCTGAAATTAATAAAATACCCTTAGTTAGCAATGACACAAAGCAACATTTCATTTGCAAACCTCCAAAGAAATCAACAATTTTAAGGGAGAACTGATGTATAGGTATGTTTAACAGCAAGCTTATATCTTGCCACACAATATTACAACCACTGAATCTTAATGAAAAAAAAAAACAATTATTAAAAAAAAAAAACCAAACTTTCCTAGAACACATTGGTATGCTACTGGAAGTACGTTCTATCACCCACACATGATGTTTAAACTTTTTCCCATCAGCTGGATTTCATTAGTATCTATACTAGATACAGTTCCAGACTATGCTGGCTTTTCATAGGTTGAATTGTATTGTGCTAAACATGAGCTAAACTGAAACAAGTGCAYAAAACTTTGTTTTCTGGAACACCAAAGGATAACCTTTGGTATTGTACATTTAAGTCGGTGTGTTCACACACACTGTTGTAATAATAGAAGTTTCACATTTAGCTTTTTTAATAATCTTACATAAGTAAAACCTCTTTTCAAATGATTACATAGTTGTTTGTTTGTTCTGAAAATCCACAAAAATATAATTCTAGTAGAATATTTATATACAATGATAAACAGATAACTACTGTAAATAAAAAATTAGAATACAGGTACTCTATATAAAAGGAGATATTTGCATATGGTGGTCAGATATGGTGGGCCTTAAAAACCTGATTTACAACAGGTTGTAAAAATAAATGTGGCAACCTCTGAGGGGCAGTCTGTATTTTCATCAGCTCCTCTAACATTTGCACATATGGGAAGTCTACATACATAGTGGTTAGGTGAAGAAAGGARGTTTGATTCTCTAGCTCTGGCCTCAAGGGATTAAAAAAAAAAATAAATCTAACACCTTACTCCAACTTTGACTTCAAAAGGAAAAAATTCTGGCAAATTMTGATAGAGAAGCCCTAAACCCCACTTCCTATGGAAGCAGATTTTGTAGGAAATCTATGTATCCTTGCATGAAAACTCCTTTTAGACTTCACATAAACTGGCAGGCAAGTTCAAAAACTATACTTATGTTTATATGTGCTCATGGAACTTAAGTTATCCACACCTAAGACAGGCATAGATGGAAATAAAGGAACATGTTGTGGACTCTCCCCCACTGGAGATACTCAGSAATCATCTGGACRCAATCCTGTGCCATGTGCTCTGGGATGACCCCTCCTGAGCAKGGAGGYTGGACCAGGGGACCCAYTGTGATYCCTTCCAGCCTTAAACACAGTGATTCTGTAGTGTGACCTGCTCTTTGTAACTTTTCTTAGGCAGACAGATCACTTGACTAAATATCTGCAAATATCCAACATTAAACCAGTGAGAACAAACTAAACCTGTGCTGCTGATGTGCATCATTTGCTCCCCAAGAACATCCAGTGCATCCAACTGACCCTTCTGCCATCACTGGGTAAAGGGAAATACATGCTCTCATTAATCCAAAGCTACCCACACCTGTCTAGATGGCCACTGGCAAAACATAAATATGATTTAGATCTTAATATATAGTGAATATATAACGATTGAGCCTTCCTCACCTTTATAATCCATACAAAAACTAATTCCTGCTCATCCTTGTCCTCTATCCTCAGCAATTTTTATGAACTCAGTTTTGGTACAGCTGCTTCTGTCAAATAAGTCAAGTGTGGCTAGAGGAAAAAGGTGATACTAAATGAAAGACTTAAAAAAATTTTACAAAAAAAAGGCAAAAAACTTGGTCCCATAAAGCTTGTGTCTTCAGGAATTATGTCTAAATTTCCAAGACAAATTCTATGAAAAATTTTAGGTATTTTGACAAAGCACAACTGGATAGGAATGAAAGTCAAATTTTAAAAAGTGGATGATAGGAACTAATTCAGAGAGACCAAACCGTACAGTTTATACATTGCAGAACGCAGTATATGGGAATATTATACAAGCTACTGGAATTGTAACAGAGTGCTGACAAATGGAACAGCAAAAAAAAAAAAAGTTATAAAAATCCACATCTTCAACAAAGCACTCCTGAATTTTGAGAATTTGTAAAAAAGTAAGTTATCAACCACGTGTATTACATAAACGTGGGTTGAACCACAACAACTAGGCAGAGAGGAAGCACACGTGTAAGTATGCAAATCATTTATTACTGATATTTAAATAACTTCCCCCTCTGAAATTCTGCTGCATTAAAGCCAGACAAAATTCACAAACTCAAAGCTTGCCAATTTATCTTCCACAGTTGGATGCAATGCATTTTCAKTAATAATTAACTTTAAAAGTACCCCTGATTTCAATCATCAAATACTTGAATGCAGACCTAAACTGACGAAGATGATTCTTGCCCTTCACGAAACAGACAAAGCTATAATCTCCATCCCTTCATCATACAGAATATTTAGGAGCTTATGGGGAGAGCAACATCGAGCAACACAGAATGACTCAAATGGCTTGGGCTCGACTTTAACCTCTTCTCTGTAAACGGATTTTTCAGYGCTTTTAAGGATGCTGTCCTAGGCAAAACTTGATGAAGCAACACTGACATCGAGTGGCTTCGCCTGGWATTTTCCTTTGGTTACTGCAAGAGCATTGTCCCGTCTGATGCTGTGTCGTTTTGAACTGGATAGTATTAACTACAGAGTTTATTAACACATTAACTATATAGTTTATACATTTACTTGAAAATAAAATATCTGCAACATCAAAAAAAGGTTTACTCACTACAGGTCTGATGTCTTTACTGGTCAGAAAATTAAGGCAGGAGGTCACCTGATA